GGGCGTAGGGCCAATCGTCGCGTGTGGACAAGCTCGCGCGCTGCAGGGCCATTTTCACGGCTCGCTTATATAAGCTTGAGTGGCAGTATTTTTTGGCCCCTGTGGTTTTTCGCAGGTAATACCGCGGACCTTTTTGCATTTCTGCGCTCCGCGCCGTAGCAAAATGTTTACTTCTCCGGCCACAACATTAAGGAGTTTAGCGCATTTAACCAAGTTGGTAAACTGACCCGTAAATTGAATGTAACTTTGCTAAACTCAACGTTGGTAACTGCGCTAACCGAGTTTAGCCAAACCAAACAAACAGTTTTTAGTTGGCATAAACACATATCATGTAAGACAAACACTTGCAAACACACACGGGCATCCAAGTATTGGCCCGTCGTAGTCCCCTAGCCCGTGGCACGTCCCTCCTGCAATTCTTTAACCCATGTTGGTGGCGGCTGTCCCCTCATGGATGAGTGGCCTGTCGTATAGCAGTCACTTAATCCATCGTGGACTCGTCTTGTGTGGCCTGTGACGCAATACCTTCGTCGCGGGTGCCGTCGTGTAACCCACGGGTGTTTATATGGCCCATCCCGTTGCATAAGCCCCTGCAACATGTCACATCCTGTAATGAACTGTATTGTCGCCCCCCCGGTCCCGTCGTGTACCCTGTCGCAGGTCCCGTCACATCGCCCGTGGCACATCCCTCCTCCAATTCTTTGGCCCATGTTGGCGATGTCGTGGACTCGTCTCCATGGGTGTTTATATGGCCCATCCCGTCGTGTAAGCCCCAACATATCACATCCTGTCATGAACTGTATTGTCCCCCCCCCCGTCCCGTCGTGTAGCCCATCGCGTGTGTCCCGTCGTGGCCCCGTCGTCTTGGCCCCGTGTCCGGTTGCGCCTTGGCCTGTCAGACGTCCCGTCGTGCGGCGTCGCACATCCCGTCGCCCTGTCGACGGCCCCCATGCACATCGTGTAGCCCCATGGTCTCGCCTATCACTTGTCCGTCGTGTCACACGTCCCGTCGTGTCGTCGCAGGTCCCGGTCGTGGGCTTGTCATTTCCGTCGCATAGTTCTTTTGCCCGTCCTGTCTCGTTAGGGACTGTGCTGCGCCGTCGACAGTCTTGTCCTGTTGTGTGACCAATCACAGGCCTCGTCGCACCATTCTTTAGCCCCGACGTTGTGGCCCCATCATTGGTCAGTCGTGTCCCGTCGTGCCTTCTTCTTGTGACAGGCCATGCGACCAGAACAGACTTGTTGCAATTCCCGCGGTCACCCGTTTCTGTGCCCCTTTGTCTTTGTATGACCGCGTTTCTGTCCATCTGTTTTTCGGTGTCTGCACGCTTGCGTGCCTCTGCATGCTTCTGTTTGTGCCTGTGTTTCTCTGTATGTGTGTCTGTGTTTGTTGTGTTTGCGAGTGCGTTTGTGTCGGTGTTGTGCCACGTACTCTTGTCGAGCTTCGCACCTTTTTTGTCGAGGTTCACGCTTTTTTTTGGCGAGGTTCATTTTTTAAGCGCTTGTCGTGGTTAAGCCACGCCCTCGCCAAGGCCCAGGCCGTGGTGGGAGCAAATTTTGTAGAGCCCGCGCCGGCAAGACATTTTTTGCAACTCAGGCACATACATATTTTGTTCATGTCATATGTGTTAAAACATGCATACTCTTCGCGCGCGAAAAGCACGCCGTTCTCCAAACACAGGTCGCGAGATGCACTGAGGGCCGGGCTGGTCGCGATAAGGTCACGATAAAGAGTCAGTGAAAAGCGATCGCCTGAGCAAGGTGAGACGGATCCGCGGGCTGTTGGCCTCAAAAGATCCATATGCAGTTGTTGCAAGCGCAAGCGAAAACGCGATCGACCAGAAAACATCCTGGGCGCAAGCTAAGCCGAAACTCTCAGAAGACGGGCGCAAGATTTCAGCCAAAATCGCTATGGACAGGCAGATATATGCCCCGACTCTTGATCTAGAAGACACAACGACTTCGTTCAAAGCCCGGACCATTTTTCCGAAATATCCCGGATATTTCGATAGTCGCGCTCCAGACCATGTTTCCGAAATATTCCGGATATTTCGACGATAGCATTTCCCGAAATATTTGGAAGATTTCGGGAAACTGGTCCCCGAAATATTCGGAATATTTCGAGAAAGTGGTGGGTGGCTGCGATTCCCGGACCGCTTTCCCGAAATATCTTGAATATTCCGGGAAACTTGTCCCTACAAAAAATGAAGCCACTATGTCTTCCGCACATATGCCGGGGTAGCCCGGACAGATTTGGGCAAGCGGTCCGTAGGAAATATGAAGCGGTTACATCTTCCAGGGGCAGTCCAGACCAATTTTCTGAAATATCCGGGATCTTTCGGAAAAGCGGTCCGGGAAAGCGCTCGCAAGTGCGACGAGCAAGTTTCACGGTTTCGTTTTATAGAGTAAAAGTAAATATAATACCAATAATAGTATTTCAAGATTTACCCTATATTTTTTTACAATACCACTTAAAAATAATACTTAAAACCCTACAAAGTTTAGACCAAAAACAACTCCCTATAACAATACCTAATCGAGAATGTAATTGTTCATTTATTTCTAATTTACTTAAAATTTATAATTCTAATTTATTATTTAAAATACATATCTGTTTAATTATAATATAAATATTAAACCAATATAGCCTCCAAATCGCATTTCCCATGCACCACAAAGCCGCTACAACGATACTCCGGCCGAATAATTATGCTTACGGCGAACGACTATACCCATCCCGGTCGTTTCTTCCGTGGCGTTCTTAGCGCGACCCGGAAGTCCCCGAAATTTTGCTCTCTCTATCTCTCCTCTATCTTTCTGTTTCTCTCTCCCTCTTGCTCTCTCTCTCTCTCTCTCTCTCTTTCTCCGTCTCTCTCTCTCTCTCTCTTTCTCTTTCTCTCTCTTTCTCTCTCTCTCTCTCTTTGTTGTCTCTCTCTATCTCTCTCTCTCTTTGCCTTTTTTTCTGTCTATTTCTGTCTCTCTCTCTCTTTGTCTTTGTGTCTCCGCCTCTTTCTTCGTCCTTTCCTTTGTCTCTCTTTCTGTCTCTCTGTCTATCTGTCTCTCTGTCTCTGTCTCTCTGTCTTCTGTCTGTCTGACGGAAGGGGACGGGGCGGGACGGGACGGCACGGGAGGGGAAGGGAGAGGAGGGGAGGGGACAGGGAAGGGAAGGGTTCACTGGCTCACTGGCTCACTGACTCACTGCTCACTGACTCACTGACTCACCGACTCACTGACTTGACGCACTGACTCACTGATTCACTGATTCACTGACTGACTGACTGACTGATTGACTGCTGACTTTTGACTGGCTGACTGATTGACTGACTGATTGACTGACTGATTGACTGACTGATTGACTGACTGATTGACTGACTGATTGACTGATTGCCGTCCAGCCATTTGTCCGTTCATGCTTGCCTTGCTTGCTTTGCTTGCCTGCTTGCCTTGTTTGCTTGCTTGCTTGCTAGTTGCTTGCCTTACTTGTGTTTGCTTGCTAGCTTGCTTGCCTGCTTGTTTGTTTGCCTGTTTGATTGCTTGTCTCTCCATTTGTTTCTTTGTTCTTCATAAAACAATATAGAATATACCCCCAAACTCAGACCAAACAAGCCCTACAAACTTCATTAAATCTTTAAACACTTCCCTAACGCGGTGATGATTCGTAAAATAAAAATACAAAATGTAATCATATCTACGCCATTTGAAAAAAAGAAAAACTTGTTTAGGCTAGTGTTCGAACCTGAAATGGAAAATATAATTATCTAGTTAGGTTTAACACCTGATGGTGTTTCCTTTTTTGCGACCCTGAAGGAGCAAAGCCTTGCTTAGTTTAGCTTTAGAAACATTGAACGGACTAACAACATGGGGTCTAAAAAATGGTGGTTGTTGCCCCGAAAAGGCAAACTAACTAGTTTTCGAAGCGCTAAACAGAAGAAAAATCTGTTGTCCAGCCAGGTTACCTAAATGGTGGATATTACTTTCTACGCGACCTTTAAAAAGCAAACTCCTAGAGCGTCATCCGCACTCAAACGAAGCTGACGGTCTTGACCACCAGCTCCACCTCCTGCCCCTTCTGCAGCACCTCCAGCTGTTGCCGCGCCTCCTGGGTTCGATGCTTTGGCGCCCCTTCTTGTTCTGTTTGCCGTCTGTCGTGTGTGAAGGCGTCTGTTTGTAGAAAATCGCCGGAAAAAACACAGAGCCAAAAGGCTGGGAGCAAGTGGCACCTCAACACCCTCACCCAAAATAAGCGAAAACCGGCCAACTCGGGCTCTCTTGAACTCTCCTGAAAGAGGCGCACGGCCAAAGCCTCGCAGCTGTCCGGGCGCAGCGCCTGCCAACAAACGAGTGGCTCGGCTCGCAGGGCGCCCCAAAAATGTGTTTGGGAAACTTTTAGTGGAGGTTCCCAGAGATCCACGTTGGACCTGTGAGACGTAGGCAAATCTGGAGCAACAGCTGCGTCCATGGCTTCTGGGAAGTCAGATCGCGCCTGCCGGGCGGCCAGCAGGAAAGGAAGCAGCACAGACACCCGGCTCAGCCAAAGCCAATGCGGAAACTCGGCTTTGGGGTTGCCAGCTCCAGCAAATCCCACAGCCGCCGCTGCGAGGCCTCATGCTGCAGTGTCCATGCAAGAGAGTGGCAATAAGTTTGTGATTTGTTGCTGCGGACAGGTCCGCAATCTGGAAAAACGTTGTTTGCATCAGTTTGTTTGCTCCGCTACGGTTTGACGCGCCCTCCAGGAACTGACAGCGATCACGTCCAGCGGAGGAGCACAGCAAGGAAAAGAAGTGGAGCTCGTTAATCTGACACGGAGCGGCGTGGCTCGGTCTGTCGTCCCCAGTTTGTTTCACAAAGAATCAATACAAACTTGGCCGCCCATGCATTCGCATCATGCAACTGCCGAAGGGATCGCGCCTGTGGCTGGATGTAGGGCTGAACCACGGCAATCGTAGCCGCCATCCCAAGGACATATGCCAGGGAGAGGTGGAGGCCATCCTCTGTTGAGATTACCTGGCTGGCGCGCCAGCATGAGAACACCGTCAACACTGGCCCTAACAATGGACAACGTTGTGCTGCCGTCTGCCGGCTCCCTTTGCTTTGCAAGAGTCTGTCTTTACACGCTCTGCCATGTGGCGGTGACCAGCCCGACGGCCAAGAGCTTCTGCACCATCTCCATCCACACGGAGCGGCAAAAGGCCTTGGGGAAAC